GCCTTCAATGAGATGGATTGACATGGTGGCTGCGATGATGGGCTCAGTATAGCAGGGATTGTGGAGCTGGTGCAGGATAGGGCTGTGTTTCATTCTGCTGTGCATGGGGTCGCTATGAGTCGGAAATGACTCGAGGGCACCTAACAACAACAACAAGAACATGGTAGATTTTTCCATCAGAGAATGAGGTGGGATGGTTTCCTATAGAAGGGAGGAATGCTTTGCAAACCATGCTTTCAATGAGTAAGATGCCCTTACTTGCATAAAAAAGGTGACAGTTATATGATTAGCATCCATTTATTTCTTTGTTCTTTTGTTGCTTCCTTCATTGCTTTTAAATGTCATAGGCCAATCCCTTAGATAATGTTTAATAAACACTGACGGTATTATCTTTTCCAAATCTTTCTTTCTAAATCTTCCTTCCCATATTTTTCTTCAATTCTGTTTGTTTTGTTGTTTTGTATTTATCTTACATATTTAGGGTGGCAGCTTATCTAGCTTATCTCTCATTGCTTATAATTTGGAACATCTTTTTGATGCTGTTTAGAGAAGAAAGTTATTCTCAGTAGGGTATTACCACTATATTATAGGATACACAGACAACAGAACACACTGCCCTGGAGTTGGATCCAATTCATAGTGACTCCTCCTTGAGTTTCCGAGACAGTATCACTACAGAAGTAGATTGCTCAACCTTCCTTCCAAGTAGTGTCTGGTGGGTTTTAACTGCCAGCCTCCTCGTTAACAGTGAAGTGCCTTAGGCACTATGCCACCAGAGCTCCCATACCATAGGATAGAGCTGCCAATAAACAGAACTGCCAATAACAGTTGATTGTAGCTATAGTTTAAATTATTAGTTAAATTCATTTGTAGAAAGAAATGTTTTAGTTTGGGAATATTTATCACCTTGTAGCATAGTACCTAAGGCATTTGAATGCTGAGCAGAAGACGGGTGTTCAAACCAACTAGCCACTCCTTTGAAGAAAGGTTGGGCAATCTACTTCCCTAGTGACACCACTTCAGAAACTCAAGGATGGGTCATTATGAGTTGGATCCAACTTGACAGCAGTGAGTTTCCCCCCCCCCCAAACTACAGTGTTTTATCCAAGCACCAAACATTTCTAAATTTTATGATGCTTAATTCTCTTTGTTGAAGTGAGAATAGCTCATTTAAAACTCACAATATCCTTATTTTTAACCCTAAGAAATGTCTGTATGTACATTTGACAATTCCAATAGCTTTTCCTTAATGCATATTTATTTTTTTAAATATTGACTATGACAGCTTTGAATTCAATAGAAAAACTGAGTTATTTGTGGCATTGTACAGTACTTAGGCTTTTCTTATTCATTTCCTGTATTTTCACTCTTGGTATTTTATTTTTACTCTCTAAACCTAAATTATTACTTCTCTCAGTACATCCTACCACTCATCTATGCAAATAAATACGCAAATTAGAACTTGACCACTCCCGCAAGAATTCCTACTAGTGCATATCACCATTTCTCCCTAAATCATCTCATTTACCTCTAGTTTATTTTTCATCTTTGTGGGGGGGGGGGACTAAGAAAAATAATCTGAGCACTGATATATTATTGATATTATAAAACTCAATATTTTTTTCAACCTAATTGGTATACGTTTTTGTTTTTCTGTTCTCTCTTCCTATCTAAAACAAATAATTGAGAACTAAGAACTTGATCCCCATTTCCAAGTGTACCCTACGTTAATGTTTCACAGTTGGCACTATGCACAAATTTGTTTGAGAAAAAATTCATTAAATGTGGTTAGAAGAAGGTTACCCAGTCTTGCAATATAAACATAGATGGAAAAATATAAAATGTCAATTTATAGACTTCTATATCTTTGAAAAACAGTTTTCATCCTTCCTGTGCATTTGTAAGAACTAATCTTATCTCATTTATTTTAAATCATCATTAAAGAAATTTTTATTAAAATAGATACTTTTCTATATTATAGTATCTTTGATACCTGCTCATATATGCACTTTCCATTTATGTTAAATATCTTTTAAAAAATTAATGTACAAATAAAACCCAACTCATGGCCATCGAGTCGATTTTAATCATAGCGACCCTAATTTGGTTTCCAAGACAGTAAATCTTTTTTTATTTTTATTGTGATTTGGGTGGAAGTTTATAGAAAAAAATTCATTTTCCATGTTTACAGCAATTCATACACATTTTGTTTTGTCTGATGACATTGACTGCAATTCTCTACAACATAATAGCTCTCTTCTCACTTTCTCCCTATAGTTACCTCTTCTCTGTGCCCTTCCCTCCCATGTACTCCAAAACCCTGAGCTGTCTCCCTGTGAAAACACTACTCTTTTGTTCCCCCGTGAATGATCACTCCAGGGAGTATATCTACCTGATGTAAATGTTCACCCCATATGCTTATTATTTGGCTGGAAGCTACAGGAATGAGTTCAGTTCTAGACCTGAAGGGTGGCTAGAGGCTATAGTCTCAGGGGTCTCCCCAGGCTCTTATCAGACCAGCAAACCTGGTCTTCGTTTTTTTATGATTTTGAGTTTGGTTCCACATTGTTCTCCCTCTATCCAGGATCTCCTGCACAGATCCCCCTCTGAGTGGTTGACAGTGGTAGCTGGGCATCATCTGGTTCTTCTGGTCTCATAGTCATATAGGCTGAGGATCACATGGTCTACCAGTCCCTTGGACTAATTGTTTCCATGAATCTTTGGTTTTCTTCATTCTTCTTTGCTCTGGATGAGGAGAGACTCATTGTTGCATCTAGATGGCCACTTGCAAGCCAAGACAGTAAATCTTTATGGAAGCAGATTGTCTCATCTTTCTTCCACAGAATGGCTGGTGGGTTTGAACCACTGTCCTTTTCGTTAGCAGTCACATGCCTTAACCACTACACCATAAGCACTACACTCTTTTTTAATGTACAAATAAGTGAAATAGAAAATAATTTAAAAAATAATTTTGGAAATTTTTATTAGACTAGTAATTTGAAAGTCCATAAGATAGTCAAATAATTTCTCATATGCAATTAATATTTTTATTTCTATATTTGAATTCCCTTTGTTTGATGGCATCTACATGTGAACATTTCCTCATTTCTCAAGTGTTTTGGTTTCTTAAGTATTGGTTTTGCTTTTTCCTCAGGATGTTTTGAATAATTTGGGATCTTGTGAACTGGATGAAGATGATCTCATGCTTGATCTAGAATTTTTAGAGGAACAGAATCTTCATCCTTCGGGTAAGTGTAAATAAATGTACAATATCATACCACTTTGCTAATAATTATTTAGCTTTCCCTGATAAGCTACATATTATTTAGCTGCATTCAGTCTTTTCAATCCCCCATTTGTTTTTTCTGTATGCAAGGCACATACTAAGTACTGTGGAGGATCAAAGATAAATACCCCATTGTTCTGTTTCTCAATGATTTTAAAATATACTTTGGAAATATAAATCAGGTAAAAGATATTTATAAAATAACAAAAACTATGAAATAGCAGTGTTTACAAAGAAAGAAATATTCTAATTATATATTTAACATTTTAAAAGTTTTCTTTTGAAGGAAACAATTACAAAAATTCCTTTCTACATGTATTTTATATTACCAAGCAAAAGTATTGTGCATCTTGATTTACTGTTCCAAATCTTAGCCAATTCAATAATAACTATACATGTTCATATTGATGCAATAAAGTTGACATCAAAATTAATAATCACCAATGGCAATCACAGACACATGTGCATAAACATATATAAACCCACGCATAGGGTAAATTCTTATTGAATTATAGGAAGGCAGCCTATGCTAGTTGCAATAGTTTAAATTTATGTTAAAACATAAAATGTCATATTTCCAAATATCAATATCCACCAGCCATTCCTCGGAAGGAAGTTTGAGCATTCTACTTCCGTAATGATACTGCCTCGGAAACGCAAGGAGGGGTCATTATGAGTCAGAGCCGACTCAGCGGCAGTGAGTTTGGTTTTAATCTCTTTGAAGTTGATTATAAGAATTAGTTTTCATTCAGATTAAGATATTTGATAGCAAAGTTAAGCATTTACACTTAAGTTTTGTTAGTAGTGTCTTTAACATAGTCATTTTGAAATTAAAGTACAAATACCATTAAACTAGAGCTTTAAACTTTGCATACTGCTTTTTGAATTTGGGAATATTAATTAGCCTCAACTTATATGAGTTAGACACTTGATCTCTAATGGTTATTAACAGTTCTATTATATTTTTATGAATTCTTGCTCATAGATTTTTTTTTTTTTTTTTACTGCAGACAATGTAACGAGTATTGAATGAAGACAATAACAGTTTTTACATTTTCTTGAATTATATTTTAAGGCTATTATCAAAAAGAAACTCTTCTATTTTTTTTTTAAATTCAATAACAATTTAGGATAACCATTTTTCTGCACATATTCCCTGAAGTTTATTTGACAAAATTCTTTTAAAAATTTTGTATTTTTGGATATTTTATACAATTTGATCACCCATTTGTAGTTGTCTTATAAGACTTACACATGATGGTTATGGTTAATGGTAAAATCCCTTTACAGTGAAATATGTCACTAGCTAGTAAAATTATGGGCGCATTTACCTTTAGATGTATCTATCTAACTTCTAGAAATTACATCTTGAAATACTGGAAAAATACAAAATAATGCATCCATTTGACTATTCATTGCAACATATTAACAATATCAAATTATTAGAAATGACTCAAATGCTACCAGTAGGACACTTATTGAATATATAGTAGAATACTAAGCCATCATAAAAAGTAATAAAATGCAATGAGGAAATTGTATATTAATAGAGAAATTTATAATCAACAGTTTAGATGAAACTGATCAATCTAAACATAACTAAAAGTGTAACTAGACATTTTGTATCTCTTGCTGCAACACAGAAAGACATGCACAGAATCACTTACAAAGGTTTTTTCCCTCCGATCTGCCATAGTACCTGAATCTACTCAAGTCTCTATATCGAAATATGATTGTACAGGAGATGAAAGGGAGAGAGGAAATCCTAACTGGTCAAAATGGTGCAAAGAGACTGGCAGCAACCAAATTTAGAATGGGAGAGGTTCTATGGATAAATGCCTATTTTCAGAAAAAAAAGAAAAAGAAAAAAACGACATGCTAAAAGAAGAATGGAGTGTGAGTGATAAAAAGAGGCTTAAACAATGTAAGAAGAAATGCAATTTGAGATTCCTATTGGTATGCTTATTTAAAAATAATGTAGAAAGACAGCTTGGAGTTAAGAAGAGAAATTTGAATATTGAGTTTTGTTGTTGTTGTTGTTGAGTGCCGTCGAGTCGTTTCCGACTCATAGCGACCCCATGCACAGCAGAACGAAACACTGCCTG